TCGCGGCCCGATTATTTTAATTCGCCTAAGGTGTTGTCGCGGGCTCGGCGCATAAAAAATCGCCCGATTTTACAATTACATCAGCCGCAATCAAGAGTTGTATACAATTGATACCTGACGTAATCAGCGAGTGTGGTTTCATGATAATTAGTATGGTACATGTCATGTATAGCGATGCACGCACGCACAACAAGCTGTGTTACGTGCACACGCCGAAGCACACTCACGCCACGCATGCACGCACTGTTGTACGTGGCACCAAGCGACGCACGGCACGTCTATGGTGCACATTGCATTGCATGCACCGCCCGCACGTTAACGAACGCACTCACTCTACAAACAATGTTACTCACACATTACAACATGTGTAACCTGGCACACGCACGCAGGCACGGTACGTACGCCACGCAGGCACGTACGTAGTGCCCACGATGCACGCAGGTGGAAAATCGTTGCACATGCACGCACGCAACGCAATATGCACACACACGCACGGCAAGGCAGGCACGTGATACGTTCACACGCATGCACGCACACGCAGCAACTCGAAACTCAATGTACGGCACCGGTGTAAGTGGCACACGCATGGCACGCATGCACGCCACACACGAAACGACGTTTTACGTACACACGCACGCACGCGACGGAACGCACGTGTACGTTACACCCGCACGCACGCACATTGTACTTGCACACGCACGCACGCACACACGCGACAGCAATCGCGCGCAGTGTGCTTAACACAACGGCACCACGTGTACGTGCACGCGACACATGCCGCAACGTATACGTTGCACCACACACACACGCACGTACACACTGGCACGCAATGCACGCCACGTTAACATAACCCACACCTCCACCAGGCACGGCACATGAATGCACGCACGTTCTTCGTGCACATTTGCTGGCCTAACTTATTCACGGCCAATTTTATTCACCGGATTTAATCGGCTAAGACATGTGTCCGGCCCTTACCTCTTCCTGGCCTTCCCTCCTCGTATTCTTTCACCTGTCCTTACCTTTCCTTTACTCTCCTGTCCCCTTCCCCGGCCTCGTATCTCACCTGTCCCTCCCCTCCCTTACCTCTCCCGCCCTCCCCTACTCGTATCTCACCTGTCTTTGCCCTCGTGCTTGCTGAGGAGACCCTGCAGGAGACTGACGAGGCAGTGGTTGTAGTGGGCGGGGTCACCCTTGCTGTGTTCGCCCATCGTCGAGGTGAAGCCCTGGAACTCTGCGTACTCCTGGTAGAGCCAGGAGAGCATGAGGTCAACACGCTGCCGCACGTCCGAAAAGATGAAGTCCAGCAACACTTGCAACAACGCCAAAACGTGAAAGGACATGATATTTAATATAAATATAATAATTTTAAATTAAATATTTAATATAAGATGAAGTCCAGCAACACTGCCAACGCCAGACGTCGAAGACGTGATATTTAAAATTAAAGTGCGCCGCATTCAGCGAGGCGACAGCGCTCGCTCCATCTTACCGGGGTTCTTATTTGCGGTGACTCTTGTGGTGGAGGTGAGGGATTCTAGTAACCCTGTTAGTTCCCAAATGTGTTTTTCACATTACACGCCGAACAGTGGGAATGCACAGGGATTCGGTAATCAGAACCTTCTTCAAAAGAATGTTCGTTGGCGATCGTTATGATAAGTTGGCCCGAAGATGGCGCCGTACGTTAAGTGTTCTTTCAGATTAAAAGATGGAAAAAGCGTCCATCATCTCGTAGTAGCAACAACTAATTTTTGCAAGAACAGAAATAGGTAAAGCACTCTCAATATTTAACGCTACCGCCAAGCCTTACAGGCCTGCCGAAAGATATTTGCAATATAGAAGCTGCCACCTGCAAACCAATTAAAACGGCAGGCAAAAAAAACTTGCCAACACATGGCCTGGCAAGGCAAGCCACTCGGGCAGTGGCATTACGTTGACATTGTAACTAACTGACAGTAACAGAATTGACATTACAAATTATTACGATTAAGGGAACATAACACTCTTATAACCAATTTAAAGCTTTTGAAATTTCACTGTGGGAACATGTAGCCTATAACATCCAGCATGTATAGATTCTATCTAGCAAAACCCGGCAAGTCAAATTTCTTTCTAAAACAGGACAGTACAATCAAATCCAAGTTTAAACCCTCTCTTGAGGGTCAAAAAAGGTTATCCGGACACTTTACTCTTCGCATGTCAGCAGGAAGGGGACATTTCATTGGTCCTTTCAATAAATAGCCATAAACATGGCAGGTCAGCCGGCTCGAAACAAAAAAGTTTTTCAATCAGCTCGGTTCAGGACCATGTCCTCAAAAGGGAAAATGTCTACAAAATCTGCCCTTGTTGCCCATTTGAACTTTGACCTGTCGGACTTTCCCAATTTCGGGCAGTGGATGGCTTTTTCCTACCATGATTGCTATACACCGACTAATCACGAGCCTAGCGTCGAGCCGTTAGAATTTGATGCCCGCAAAATTCTGCATTTCCTCCCTTACTACCTTAAGTTTAAGAGTTGAATGTTCCCTTTCTTTTTACACCTCTTGGACTTTGATCCCCCAGCTTCGGGGGAATTTCCCCAACTTCGTTTCGCGAATTTACCCCCCAACAAATTCACCGGACATATCGGTGACCGTTACTCGAGCAGGTTAAGATTTAGTGCCAAACTGTTGAACGGACCCGGAACGGACGGACGGGACGGATCAAGCGGCATTTCTAACAACGCTGGCATCCTTGACTATGTCAAGATTGAGCTAATTTAATATATGTAATAAATATTTAATATAATTGGCATGAAGTCCAGCAAAAACACTGCACCAAAACGCAGACGCTGAAAGGACGTGATATTTAATATTAATATAATGCTAAATTAAATTAATATAAAGATGAGATCCAGCCCAACCCCTCCACAACGGCCAAGACGTGAAAAGACGTGATATTAATATTAATATTAATGTAAGTAATATTTAATATAAGATGAAGGTTTCCAGCAACAACCTCAACAACGCAGACAGTGAAGGACGTGATTTATTTAAATATAATATATAATAAGTATAATATTAATATAAGATGAAAGTCCAGCAAACACCTCACCAAAACGCGCAGACGTGAAGGACGTGAATATTAATATAATAATATAATGTAATTAATAATTAATATAAGATGAAGTTCCAGCAACACTGCACAACGCCAGACTGTGAAGACGTCGATATTAAATATTAATTACTATAATTGTAATAATATTAATATAAGGATGAAGTTTTCAAGCAACAACTGACACAATTGCCAGGGACGTGAAAGGTGGACGTGATATTAATATAATACTTATAAATGTCATAATATTAATATAAGATTGAAAGGTCAGCAAACACTGCCGCACAATGCAAGACGTGAAGGGACGTTGATATTAATATATATATTAAATGGGTCATAATATTAATATAAGCATTGCAATGTCCAGCCGCAACCTCACTAGCCAACAAATGCCAGACGTGAAGACGTTTGATTATTTAATATTAATAATTATATTGTAATAATATTAAATATAGGATGAAGTCCTAAGGCAACACTGCCACAATTGCAGACCGTTTTGAAAGGGAACCGGGATATTAATATAATATATGTAATAATATTAATATAAGATGAAGTCCAGCAACACTGCACAACGCAGACGTGAAGACGTGATATTAATATAATATATAATAATATAATATTAATATACAATGAAGTCCAACAACACTGACATAAAGATGTGATATTAATATAATAAAATAATAATAATATAATATGATGTCCAACACTGTGTAACATAAAATAATATAATATATATCTTACATTATAATCAATGTATACAATACCATTACATTAAATGATCTTACATTGCTTGAGCTCGCCTCCAAACTGCGTCACCAAACTGGCCAGAACCTTGATCCTTGACTGTACAAGAAACACATAGATATATAGATGACATATAGATTATACCATAACAATGTAAGATAATACATATACATATATACAACAATATACAAGATACATATATATGTACATATATACACACATATATATATATTATAATGTACATTAGTTTTGATAGTATTAGAGGTGAAGGCACTCACACACGCACACGCACCCACACACACAGATAGTAAATTGAATCGCGACTGATATTAAGACTCGCGAGCGTTCAGTGAATCGCCGGCGCACACGCGGAGAGAGCGACCGATAATTGCAGACGTGCGTGCCGCCGCTGCACTGACGACGACCCAGTCACGAGTTTCTCGACACTCATTCGCGCGCACGCTTTCAGAATGAGAATCGAAGAAGAAGAAGAAGAAGCTAGACTCGTGTACGGAGACGCGACGGCCCTGACCAGCCGACGACGTTAAGCGCGGCGGTGGCGGCGTCACACTCACCAGGTTCGCTCCACCGTTGATGGCGCACTCTGAAACAGCGAGAGAATAAGATGAGACGACGTGAATAACCTCGCGTGTGTGAGCGATGGGGTCGCGGCACGCACACGCATTAGCCGGCGCGTCGGCGACCAAGAAAAAAGTCCGGCCGCGCTCCACTATTCTTCAAACCGTCTCACGAAAACCACGCTTCGGACGAAAAAAAGCCGGCGACGATGACGCCGACCGGCGGCGCCCCCTAGAGTTGCACGAACCTCGCTCTCATCGCGCGAACACGACGGTGACACTTCTCCGAATTCTACATTTTTATCTAATTTTTGTTTCCTGCCAGGTCGCACGACAACCGCTTGCAGAACCATCCGGTAGCACACCCTGAAACTGGAGGCGCCCCTGCTACCAGCGGCGCCCCCTGCGACCGGCGGCTCCCCCAGCTACCAGCGGCGCCCCCTGCTACCGGCGGCGCCCCTGCGACCGGCGGCTCCCTCTACTACCGGCAGCGCCCTCTACTACCGGCAGCGCCCCCTGCTACCGGCGGCGCCTCCTGCTACTGGCGGCTCCCCCTGCTACCGGCGGCGCCCCCTGCAACCGGCAACGCCCCCTGCAACCGGCGGCGCCCCTGCGACTCACTCTCTGACATGACGATGCGTTTGATGCAATCGGCAGCCATCGTGCGTTGCTGGTCGGCAGTCAGCGCCTTGGTGACGTCCTGCAGACGAAACTGCGTGATCATCTTCTTCGCTTTCTTCGGCATAGAGGGCAGCAGCGTCTTCTTCTGCTTCAGTTCGATGGAGCCGCCTGCGGGAGATCGGGGAAGATGCGATGAACGGGTGCAGGAGGAATCGGATGTGAAGTGGAAGGAGGAGGAGGAAGGAGGGAAGGAGGAGGAAGAGCCAGACATGCGATGAGGAGGTGCATGAGGAATGGGAAGTATGGGCAGAGGGAGGAGTAAGAGAAAGAGGGAGAAGAGGTGGTGGAGGAGCCAAAGAGATGCGAAAAGGAAGAAGAAGAGGAGATTTTTGTTTTATCCATCCGTAATGCAGGGGTGATGTAAAGTGAAGCTCTAAGCAACACGATTGCAAGAAACACGACCAGGTTTTCGCCACACTCCTCAGAAAGATACTCTATACAGACAGACACACCGCTGCACATTCAAACTTACGACCAGTGCACAGCAAACGGTGACAATACTGTCATTATAATAATAGCAGACAGAGAAAAGCAGCGCACATTTCTGCCGCAGTCAACTACCGGGTAGTGAGCGTGTCAAACATGCGTACCAACGACCGTCTGAATCGTGTGTTTGGATGACTTTCCCGCTTCATCGGTGGCGCCCTCTGCCTGTGACGCCTGTGCAAAAAAAAACAAATCAAACCAGAGTTAAGTTGTCGGGCTTACACACGCGTGAGTGACTGCATATTGCAACAATTCCTAATGACAGTCAGATCACACGTATATGATGAGACATCAGAAATCCTGACTAGTAACAGACTAGTAGCAATGGATCTGCCATGCATTATCCTCACACATGCGCCCGTGTGCGTGCCCAGTAGACGCGCGACGCGGCGTGTCTACCTACCGCAGGCTGCGTCTGTCCGACCCCGTAGCCCGCGTGTACGAGCTGCGTGCCCAGTAGACGCGCGACGCGACGTGTCTACCTACCGCAGGCTGCGTCTGTCCGACCCCGTAGCCCGAGTGTATGAGCTGCGTGCCCAGTAGACGCGCGACGCGACGTGTCTACCTACCGCAGGCTGCGTCTGTCCGACCCCGTAGCCCGCGTGTATGAGCTGCGTGCCCAGTAGACGCGCGACGCGACGTGTCTACCTATCCGTAGGCTGCCGTCTGTCCGACCCCGTAGCCCGCGTGTATATGAGCCTGCCGTGCCCACAGTAGACGGCGACGTGTCTACCTACCGCAGGCTGCGTCTGTCTGACCCGAGCCCGCATCGTGTACGAGCTGCGTTGCCCAGTAGCACGACGCGTACGTGTCTACCTACCGCAGGCGCGTCCTGTCCGGACCCCGTAGCCCTGCGTGTACGAGCTGCGTGCCAGTAGACGCGCTGACGTGCTCTACTTACCGCAGGCTGCGTCTTGTCCGACCCCGCTAGCCCGCCGTTTGTACGGAGCTGCGTGCCAGTAGACGACGCGACGTGTCTACCTACCGGCAGGCTGCGTCTGTCCGACCCGTATGCTCCGCGTTGTACGAGCTGCGGTGCCAGTAGATAAAACACGCGCTACGTGACGTGTCTACCTACCGCAGGCTGCGTATCTGTCCGACCCCGCTAGCCCGGCGTGTACTGCAGCTGTCTCTCGTGCCCAGTAGACGCGCGACGTGTCTACCTACCGTAGGCTGCCGCTCTGGTCCGACCCCGTAAGCCCGCGTGTACGATCTGGTGCCCAGTAGACGCGCGACGTGTCTACCTACGCGCGCTGCTCTACCGTCTGTACCGACCCCGTAGCCCGCGTTGTACGAAGCTGCGTTGCCCAGTAGACGCGCGCACGTGTCTACTTACCGTAATGGCCTGCGTCTCGTACGACCCCGTTAGCCCGCGTGTACGAGTCTGGGCCCAGTAGACGGCGCGACGTGCTCTACCTACCGCAGGCTGGGCGTCTTTTTCCGACCCCGTAGACCGCGTGTACGAGCTGCGTGCCCCAGTAGACGCGCCGGGACGTGTCTACCTACCGCCAGCGCTGCCGTCTGTCCGAACCCGTAGGCCCGCGCTGCTACGAGCTGCGTCCCAGTAGACGGCGTGACGTGACGTGTCTACCTACCGCAGGGCTCTGCGTGCTGTCCGACCCCGTAGCGCCCGTAGTACGAGCCTGCTGTGCCCAGTGACGCGCGGACGTGTTCTACCTACGCAGGCTGCGTCTGTCCGACCCGTTAAGCCCTCGTGTACACAGCTGCGTGCTGCCGTAGACGCCGCGAACGCCGACTGTCTTACCTACCGCAGCTGCGTCTGTCCGAACCCCGTAGCCCCGCCGTGTATGAGCTGCCGCCGTGCCAGTAGGCAGCGCGACGTGTCTACCTTACCGCACGGCTGCCGTCTGTTCCGACCCCGTAGCCCGCGTTGTACGAGCTGCCGTGCCCAGTAGATTGCGCGACGTGTCTACCTAACTGCCAGCTGCGTCACTCTGTCCGACCCCGTAGGCCCGCCCTGTGTACGCAGCTGCTGCCAGTAGACGCGCTACGTGTCTTACGCTACCGCAGGCTTGCCCGTCTGTCCGACCCCGTAGCCCGAGTGTACGCAGCCCTGCGCTGCCAGTAGACGCGCCCGACGCTGTTCTACCTAACGCAGGTGCGTCTGTCCGGACCCCGTAGCCCGCATGTGTACGAGCTGCGTTGCCCAGTAGACGCGCGACGTGTCTACCTACCGCAGGCTGCCGTCTGTCCGACCCGTAGCCCGTCTAGCCGGGACCGGTGTACGAGCTGCGTGCCAGTAGACGCGTGACGTGTCTACCTACCGCCAGGCTTGCGTCTGTTCGGCCCGTAGCCGCGTGTACGAGCTGCTGTGCCAGTAGACGCGCGACGTGTCTACCTACCGCAGGCTGGTCTGTTCCTAGCCCCGATAAGCCCGCGTGTACGAGCTGCGTGCCCAGTAGCGCGCGACGCGACGTGTCTACCTACCGCAGGCCGCTGGTCTTGTCCCGCACCCCGTAGGCCCGCCGTGTATTGAGGTCCCTGCCGTGCCCAGTAGACGCGCTACGTGACGTGTCTAACTACCGCAGGCTGCGTCTGTTCCGGGACCCCGTAGCCCGACGGTGTACGAGCTGCGCTGCCCAGTAGACGCGCGACGCGACCGTGTCTACTTACCGCAGGCCTGCCGTCTGTCCGACCCCGTAGCCCCGTGTACGAGCTGCGTCCAGTAGACGCGTGACGTGTCTACCTACCGCACGGCTTGCCGTTCTGTTCCAACCCCGTAGCCCGCACGGCGTGTACGAGCTGCCCTGGCCCAGTAGACGCGCGACTGGCCGACGTCGTCTACCTACCGCAGGCTGCGTTCTGTCCGACCCGGTAGCCGCCGTGCTACGAGCTGCGTTGTCCCAGTAGCACGCGCGACGTGTCTACCTCCCGCAGCTGCGTCTGTACTCCAAACCCCGTTAGCCCGCTGTGTATGAGCTGCGTGTCCCAGTAGACGCTGCGACGCCGGACGTGTTTCTACCGACTGCAGGCTGCGTCTGTACCGACCCCGTACGCCCGCGTGTCGAGCTGGCGGCCCAAGTAGAGACCGCGCGACGTGTCTACCTACCGCAGGCTGCGTCTGTCCGACCCCGTAGCCCGCAGTGTCACGAGCTGCTCGCTGCTCCCAGTAGACGCGCGACGTGTTACTACCTTACGCAGGCTGCGTCTGTCCGACCCGTAGCCCGAGGTGTACGAGCTGCGCTGCCAGTAGACGCGCGACGCGACTGTGGTCTACTACCGCAGGCTTTGGTCCGTCTGTCCGACCCCGTAGCCCGCTCGTGTACGAGCTGCGTGCCAGTAGACGTGTGACGCTGCTCTTACCTACCGCTAGGCTGCGTTGGCCGACCCCGTTAGCCCGCGTTGTACGAGCTGCGTGCCCAGTAGACGGCCGCGGACGCGACCGTGTCTACTACCGCAGGCCTCGCGTCTGTCCGACCCCGTAGCCGCCGCTGCTACGAGCTGCGTGCCAGTAGACGCGCCGACGTGTCTATCCATACCGCGGCTGCGTCTGTTCCGACCCCCGTAGCCCGCGTGTATGAGCTGCGGCCCAGGTAGACGCGCGACCTGTGTCTACCTACGCCAGGCTGGCGTCTGTCCGCAGCCCCGTAGCCCGCGGTACGAGCCTGCGTGCCAGTAGACGCTGCACGTAGTCTACTACCGCAGGCTGCCCGTCTGTCCGGCCCGCTAGCCCGGTGTATGACGCTGCGTGCCAGTAGACGCGGCCTACGCCGAGTGTCTAGCCTACCGTAGGCTGCGTCTGGCCGACCCCGTAGCCCGAGTGTACGAGCATGCAGCCCAGTAGGACGGCGACGTGTCTACCTTACCGCAGGCGTGTGTCTCGTCCGACCCCGTAGCCGCTCGTGTACGAGCTCGCGTGCCCAGTTAAGTACGCGCGACATGTCTACCATACCGCAGGCTGGTTCTGTCCGACCCCGTAGGCCCGCGTGTACGCAGCTTGGTGCCCAGAGTACGCGCGCGCGACGTTTCTACTACGCAGGCTCCGTCTGTCCGACCCCGTAGCCCGCCGTGTACGAGGCTGGCATTGCCCAGTAGACGGGCGCGTGCTCTACCTACCGCAGGCTGTGTCTGTCCGACCCCGTAGCCCGCCGTGTACGAGCCTGCATGGCCCAGTAGACGGCGCGACGCTGTCTACTACCCCGCAGGCTGGCCGTCTGTCCGACCCCGTATGCCCGCGTGTACGAGCTGCTGTGCCCAGTAGACGCTCACGTGTCTTACCTACCGCAGGCTGCTTCTTGTCCGACCCCGTAGCCCGCCGTGCTACTCGAGCTGCGGCCCAGTAGTAACCGCGGACGTGGTCTACCTGACCGCAGGCTGCGTCTCGTCCGACCCGTAGCCGAGTGTATGAGCTGCGGTCCCCAGTAGACGCGCCTACGCCGACGTGTTCTACTACCGTAGGCTGCGTCTGTCGCGAACCCCGTAGCCGCAGTGTACAAGCTGCGCTGCCCCAGTAGACGCGCGCACGTGATGTATCTGTTGCCCGGTGCCCGCCCGCCTTGACATCGGTGTTGTACGTTTGCCTGGAACTGCGCCGGCATCAGGTGCCGGGAGTGTCAGCCTAGTCAAAACACAAGACGTCCTTACAAGAGGCTATCATCATTATCGTAGTTGAGTCGCTCATTTCATCGTTGATTTTTTCATCGTTATCATCACAATCGTCGTCATTGTCATCATTCAACATCATTCAGCCTTCACCATCACACCATCATCATTTCATCATCATCGATCCTCACCCATGCTCAGCACGCCACTAGGTCTGCTACGTTGGGCCACCGTCAGCCTCCGTATCAGTTCTCTCGCTCAACTCGATGACGCTCTTCTCCACCACCTTTGGTTTCATTCTCGGCTGCCTTAGCGGGCGCGCCGGCGCTGTCTCACCGCCGATGGTCGTCAGAATAAATCTTCTCCTGCGAATTTCAAGACGCGGCTTGCAGTAATAATGCGGGTTGAGTTAACGACGCCAGATTATGAATTAACGACGCGGATTGACGTTAAACGACGCAGATTTGAGTTAATGACAATAATAGGATCGCAGTTAATATATAGGCTAACACATGGGAACAAAATACTGCGGAAAAACACTGAAAATATTGGATATTATCGAAAACTGTTAATGGTATAGTGTAGTCTATGAGGCCGAGTAGTCTGTCTGCTGAGAAAGAAGGGGCGGCATGGCCTAAGAATTTTTAAAAAAAGATTAGGAATGAGAAAACCTTTAAAACGATAAATGAAACAAATACCTGTGCCGCATCACCACGCTAGCCCACCCATGAAACCCTCGTCGCACCTACGCCCCGACCCACGCTCCGATGTTGCTAGAAAAGCTGCTCCCCTTCCTCGTCGTCTAGCCAGCCAGAACACGACAATTTCATCCTTTAGAATAAGCGTATGGCCCCGGCTTCTCGAGGCGGCCGGCAGACGTTACGCATGATATTGCCGCACCTCCAATCCTTTGGCACTCGCCTTTGATCTTCTTCTCATCCGAATCTTCGTCTCCTTTTCGCTTTCACTATCGGCTCAAGGAACTTGGCAATGCCTTTCATCACCTTTGCAAGCGTTCGACATTTTCATTCATTTTCGATACCAACACAAAAAACTAGTCGACCCATCCGCCGGGAGTTCCTTGCGGTAGCTCTAGGCCAATCAAGGCCTGCGATAGGGTGTTTGCCTTAAAAAACACTGCTCCGCGACGAAGCATGTCAACATGTTTGGCATATTGTGTCGGGAAAACAAAACTATCAATGTATTTTTACGCGTTTGAACTGGCGTAGCTTAACCGGGTGACCAATATCAATATTAGCAAGAACAATATTCTACGGTACACTCTCAATGGTACAGTGGTAATACACATTACGAGTACACCATCTGCTTACCTCGGCTCTTTGCGTGAGTGTTCTGACTCGTAACATTTGCCTCCGTTAATGTGAATTTAATTAAAAATCCATTTTTATAGCTGGTTTTATTTTACGTCAGTTTTTTTCTCTATTATTTCGTTCACAAAACTATTTCCCATTTGTAATATTGCTCCATGATGTATAGACGAGCGTGCTATAACAATCACAGCTCCCCATGAGGCAGCATTCACTGGCACTGATTGCTGTATGCTACTCTGCTGTCCACTACCTCACTGGTTTAGTCGCCCCTAGATCGCTTAGCAGCGTTGTCATCTGGCCGGTGGCAGTCTATGGAAGCGCTCTGGATGCATTGCAGCAAGATCAACCAACTGCATCTGTGAGGCCAAACGATACAAAACACGCGCATTAAACATTACTCCGATCGATTTATTATTGAGTTGGTTTATTGATTTGATAAATGGTCGATTATTAATCCTAATCTCTGCCTTTCGTTATAACAAGGATTCGCCTGACGATGATTAAAAAAATTCCGGCTCACCCCCAGATTCAATGACGCACACAAAACCTAACATGGCAACCATTATATGTTTAAGCATGGCCGCCTTCAACGATAAACGTTGACCATAATTGCTTTTATTTTAACGGCGTTTGACTCTCCATGCAATAATCGAGGACACTGGATGTCACCACGCTACCTTGAGAGTCTTTCTAACGCTGCTGACTTTGTGAACTTTTTGCGAGGTAGGTGGCAAATTTGCTTAAAACAGACAAACGAACGCCTCCGCATTATTCTACAAGGAAATTCCACACAATCGTGCGTTGACGTCCAGCTACGACATTTGTCTCGTAGACGGGCATTTCCAGAAATCTCATTTCATGCGTAGGAATGAATACAGTACTGTATTCACTGTATATTTTTTTTCGCGGTGGTTTTAATTTTTCCGCAATTTCGAAGATGTGTCCCCGACCGCGTAAATAACAACGCGTGAAGAAAATAACAACACGCTGCTTCTTTTCACTGGATTCGCGGAATTCACCGACTGCGAAATTAACCAACTCACGAATATGTTCCGTCAAGTTTCTGAATTTGCGAAAATATCTGTACTGCGAAAAATATGGCGTATTACAGTATGCTAATCCTTGATGTTTGCGCATAAATCCACATCATCCATGTATCAAGTCATGCCTTTACTGGGGGGGACTATCCATTTTAACATCGCAGACAATCCTTGATATTCAATACAGGTGCTTCACAAAAGTTTTGTGGAACCTTATAAAAATTATATATTACTATATACATGATAACAACAATAATAATAATATAATAATAAACGCACCATGCAATGATTTCTGAATCCCTGCATCACCTGGTACATTGCAAGTGTGGTCTCTGTCTAGATATGCTGTTAGTGATCCCATGCCATTGCCATCAGGTTTCACGCTTGCCCAATGTGACGCAAAGACGGCAATGAAACTTACAACCAGCACACACACGTCCCTCCAACTACCAACATTTCATCACAGTGGCATTCCTATTTGTTTGATAATTTACTGATTATCAAGTTATTATATAATTATATTTTATAAATTCTCTTATCTAACCATTTAACAACTATGAATTATTTTACTGAATCGATAACGATTAAATCATGCATTCAGAATCGATGAATGAACTGGAATTATTTATTGAATAATAAATATATCGTGAATTTACACACACTTAGATCACAGCCCATAGAAAAACCATGAAGAAAATTCTATCATAATTCTCAACAACCTGACTCTTTAGATATCAACAGTTCCACTCCAAATCCAGTTGCTATTGGATTTTGAACGAAAAAAGTCAATGCATTTCGCAACGAAATGAGGCAACGATGAGAACATGCGCCACCTGGAGATGGCCTGGATGTGCCATGAGCCCAGTTAGCAGCTGCCCGAAGGCATTCGTTTCCTTCTCCTTCCAGCTTCTCCGCCTTCAGGAAGATGATGCATCCTTCAGGATCTTCTCCAAGCTGATGTCATCCCTCAGATTCTTGGGGATCTCCGAATCCTGCCGGCAGGGAGTGAAACTTAACATCGTGTTTAGTACAAAATAGGCCCGCTAGCCGAACATTCCAGGAGGGTGGTTACATTACATTACCAGTACGAGTACATTATACACCGAATATACAAACCGCTTTCGGAAAGCACATCACAGATATCATCCAACATTATCGATTTTAAAAACTTAAAGTATTGGCATATAGATGCATTCAAAACATCACAAAATTTTTGGTAATACAGGGGTGGGAAAGAAAGAGGTGTGAGGATGAGAGGTGAGCAATGAAACCAAAAAAAAGCTTGGTTAGACTATGATGAAGGTTTTTCCCAGCGAATTTCAGGAAAGCATGGTTTAGTTATGGACAGATGGGGGAGAGGGGCTGTACAAATTGAAGTCAATACGCCACCGTCAAAAGTGGCCCCAATATTACAGGTAAACTCTTATCAGTTATGGACGACGAATTTACATCAGGCTATGAAACAACACTGCATGACTGTTGCTGGGGACTGTCAGAACCAAACACAGCTAGATAATTAAACATGTCGATTAGTACATGATGTCGGGAGGACAATAAGGACATTAGGCCATGCAGGTGATCTGGCTTAAATCAGCAAATCGCGGAATGATCTAGGCGTGTAAAGCCCGATGCATGGGTTAGCAACCTACCGCAGACCTGGACTGTATTACCAGCCACTAGCATTCTCCACGTATTTCACCTCGTTACGTCCTCAATCCTGAAAATGCAAGCTGCCACCAATCAAATCTTGCGCGCGAGGCAAGGCTGGGGGCAGAAGACACCTGACACGTACGAGAAAAAAAACTGCGCCCCACGGTTCAGTACGCCCCAGTAGACAATACGACGTTTTGAGGGTTTTTCTCCAGCAGCTTTCTGCGGATTTTAAAAAGCGTCTGTGTTGCCCATTGACCGAGAAATTTTTTAACCGAATACAATATTTGCTCCTTGTAGTTGTATCGTCCGACCATTTCGTGAGCCAAATTCGCGCCCACAAAGCCCAATTTTATTTCCTCTTGGTTTAGCCCGAAGACAAGTGCCTTAATTTCAGATGACTTTCTAAGACCAAAACCAACTAACTGCCATTTTTTTTCTACGCACTTTTCATATCCTATTTACCAAACTTTCTAGCTTATAAAAACAGGAATTTTTAAAATTTCAAAGAGATTTCTAAGTTTTCTGCGGCTTGCTAACAACCCTCGATTGTAGCTCAGAAATGAATGTCGAAGCTCGTGAGCGAGACCAAAAAACCATGCAACGATTAAGCTGGACACACCCGTCATTTTCCGAGTCGAGGAGCGCACAAATCTTGCTCCTTGAGATCTTGCATGGCTTCCATGTCTGCTGCCAATCAAGTCGTCCACCTCCTTCGCCTTAGACAGCCACTGCGAAAAAAAGCGTCGGTCGAGACTCGGTCGGTTTGAAATTCAAATCGCCAAAATTTTTCCCAAAGATGGCGTTGGAGACCCTTTTTTATTTCTTTGGGCTGACGATTATATTTCGCGCCGCAAGGAATGGTCGTCCGCGTGACAAAGTAAATATAACGTTGGGAGACAAAATTAAAACTCGGCATCATTTGATCCTCCGTTTTAATGCAACAGACACTTTTTTACCAAAGTGAAACCATGATGTATTTTCAAACAGACGAATTATCGTGAATATATCTACACAACGAACATGAAACATCACTATATATAACATCACACTGAAGTACAAACAACCTGTGCGACCGAGCGATCGTTAACATATCGTTACACATCCGGTTCGTACCGACAACCATACTTCAACGCCACCTTGTATTAATATGTATGTGGTTTGTATTACTTTCTGACATGATCGGCCGACATTTCCCATGTCGCAGCAAAGTTCAGGCTTTAGATTGGTGACAACCCTCGTAAAATCTCACAGTCATGTTTACTGGAAAAATAAGTACATTTAACTCGTAGACTTTCTTTGCTGCTAATAAACAATAACCAGTATTATATATAAAAATTAATAAATTAAAATCAAATAATATGATAAAATAATTTATATATATACTAGGCTGCGGAGTACCGCTGCGCTGGGTAAAATTCGTAGCTACTATTCATACTACTAATTAAATAGGGACACACCATACGGAACATTGAGGTAAAATCAGACAATAACATTGCACACAATATGATACTTTAGAAATCAGTCAGTAATAAGATAATAAGCATGGACGGAAAAAACTGTTACGTATGACATTATTGACATGACACACCAACTTAGAACCCCTGGAACTAATAGTAATAATTTGGTGTAAATGAAAAAAGTTATTAATAACAAGCAATGTACCGGAATATGACGCGTTGCCAACTTTTCATTTGAAAACCTCTTTGATAAAAACAATGTTTTTCGGATATTCTCTAGGTGGAATATGTAAAAATTCCTGTGAAGCTTCTAACGAGAAACATGTTTGAGCTCCCCACGTACGCGTCTATATGCACGTTATGGCACGTAGGCACGTATAAACAGATTATCGAATGGCTGATGCATGCTATCTCATTCAAAGCCCTGGCCTGGTTGATAACATGGGCCGCGCGCACACCTACCATTCGCTTCATCGCTTCCACTCGTCTTGTAAAATCGGTGGGGCGGTTCCCTCTCTCTATTCTTTCGGCCTCCCCCCTCGTTGGTCCCTCTCTCCGTTTTTCTTCCTCTATCTTCGCTCTGACTTTCTGGTCTCGGTGTCAGCTCACTCTAACCTTTCTTTCTCCCCTCCACTCTAATTGTCGCTGCACCTGTCTCTCTATATGCGCTCTCTATCTCGGTTCCCCTCATCTCGGCACTCTATCTCGCTGCCCCTACATGTCCTCTCTCTACTTCATCTGGCCTCATCGGTCTCGCCTCCACATACTCTCTGGTGTGCTCAATAATCACCACCATGTTCTATCATTAGATACTTCTCGCCTGACGACCGATATTCACCCGAAAAATAAAATCTCCGTCTCAATCTGTCCCTACTCTGGATACATGCACATACATCCTACTCCTCTCGAGCTCATACTCGTAGTCTCGGTTCCCTGCCACTCTATCTTGTTCTCTCCTCACTCTCTCTCGCTCCCCCTCTCTCCTTGATCTTCTTATCGCGCTTTTCCTGGTCCGATTCACTTCTAAATCGCTCTTGTCGTGAACAAAATCGTGCTCTTCGCTCCGGTCTCTCTTCTCTCTCTATCGCGCTGCTCGTATGCTCGCTCCCTCACTCTGTGCGGCGGCCTTATCTCCGGCTTTCCTCTAATTCAATGGCAGTCGTACCTCCTGAACTGGCTGCTCTGCTATTCTGTCTTTTAGCTTCGGTGCGCTCTCTATTCACGCATGTAGAGACCAGGTTTCTCCTGGCCTCTCTTCCCGATCTCTTATCGCTGGAATACGACTCAAGCAGCTGATGGAATGATGTGAATCAGATTTTTCTCTGATGAATGTAAGGCAATCACAGTGGCACTCCACTAATGATCTTGTTACAGTCAGTTGCTGACATTCGTGTGAAGATTCGACGAATTGAGGGGGTTTTCATGCGTGGCATTTTTCGCGGTGTGGCGATGATCGTAATAGGGGATCCGACTTTCTGGACCGTTTCAGCGTTTTTCTTCAGCTAGAAACCACTCGCGGCTTACCGCGCGCGCTAAACGGCCCGTGTATAAGAGATGCGTCACTATTAGTTCGCTATGTGAAAATTTGCTATCACAGAGTCTCGACTCGCGGGATGGTGTCGTGGGAGCGGTACGCCGTCGGAGATTGGGGCGGTTTGGCGCCTATAGGCGAAGCATACATACATACATACATACACATACATACATACGAGCTCAAATATTATATTAGATATATATGTTTACATACAGGTGGCGGCGTTGTTTACTTAGGGCTTACTAAAGAAGTTAAATTATGTGCTTAACATGCATTTATGTGATTTCGCCTGCTCAAACAAGTAGAACTGTAGACCGCCAGCATCAAAATCATCCCTCCACGCATAATC